CCCATTTGCTGATTTTTACATAGTTGCATAAATAGGACAGGTGAAATATTATCATGTAAAGCAACCATAAACACATGAACAGACCTAGGTTTACAATTTATGATTAAAACTCTACTATCTACACAATATACATAGACATAAAATGTAAAAACTTAAATATCTTAGAAACAGTAGCCAATCAGTTGTTTTAATTGTCATATTTGAATTCAGCACATCAAAATACATAATAAATAGCACATTTTATCTCTGAATCAGACGACTTCTCAAAAATTGTAGACCAGTGTAATTAGTAGGACTACATGCACATAATACTTACCAAGTTTGACTGGAGTTTTGTATGTGAAAGGATTTTAAACTCTGACTTTATATGGGCTTTTCTATTAAAGGAATTACAATACCTATCAAAAACAAATTAAAGTCTAGTTACCTTCAGCATGGAACAGAAAAAAATGAACATTTATTCATTCATTCATTCAACCCACACACACACGAACTGTGTGCCTAACTTGTCCCAAAGTTTATGCATATTACCACATAAAATGCAACTGACCAATACTCAGCTTCCCTCTTAATAAAATAGTACAGCAAATGAACAGAGTGCAAAATGAGTGACAAAATCAATTTAATGCATTTGTAATCACTATCTTTTGTATTATTTTCCACAGGAAGCAGCATGAAGCATCCACTGTGTATTTTAACAAAAAGCATAGAGAGGTTTGCTCTGTCTAATAAGGGTCCTGCTGGTAGCTGTATCCCCACAGTCACAATGAATGAAATTGTATTTGTTCTTTCCAATAATACAGTACAATGGTAATCTCCTTTATACAGTCAACAAAAATGGTTTGGATTGTGCTACAAAACTCATCAAGTGTCTGGCTGTAGTGGCTCAGAATGATTTAATACAAAATGTGTATCTCACTAAAAATTTTGGTACCGAATTATAAAATTTGGTATGTCAATCAAATATAAGCCTTAGTTGACACTCAAGTAAGAGAAACTATATAGTTAAGATATATATTTTAAAAATTAATAATTGAAAAGTTTAGATTGAGTAAAACACTAATTTTAGTAAAATCTGCCGTATAATCATTTCAGTAAACAGAACGTTTTGTCTTCAGTGTTAATCTAAGTTCTATTAAGTTTCTACAGTACCAATCTATGCTGTAGGTGTGTGCACTGATAGATATAGGAAAAACTGCTTAGAAATGTGGCTGTTAATACAGAGCACAATCTGGAAACTAAATAGGCTGGTGGACTTCTCTCTGGTGTAGCTTTTGTTAAATGTCGGGTGCAAATTGCACAAGTCACTAATAACAGGTTCTTTACTCAGGCAACTACATAAATGTATTATAAGAGATGAGGTTGGTGAATTGCATAGAAACATGAGGACTTTATTTAGTACTTAAAATATACAAGTAAAATAGAACTCATAGAAAAATATATTAAAGCAAGATAAAGATAACCAAACAACCCCCTAAGCTGAGCATACTCACAGCCTTATGGACACCCTTAGAAGAGAAAAGGGGAAGAACAGTATGTGGAGAGCAGTATGAGCGGGCTCGACAGTACTAAGTCTTCTGCCATTCTGTCATCCCTGATGTCCCAACTAAAGGTTAATCAAACACCATATTTTATATCCCCTTTTCCTGACCACGTATGTCTGGGGATCATATTTAGATTGTATTCTGGCCTTTAGTCCACGTACGGCTGTCTGGGAAACCATAACTGGAGTTCCAATTGTTGACATCAGGCATGTGCATAAATACCTTTCCCAATATTTCTAGTGTATCAGTGAGGTTAAATTCATGATTACACATACTAAAATCCCACCAAATCTGTTGTTTCGTCTTTCTGAGTAGTACTTGTTTATCAAAAGCTACATATTGCAAAAGCTCCTACAAACCTTATGACATTAGGTCAAATATTTATACTAATTTATGCTAACTGCTAGTCCTTGCTAAGCCTCATGATAACCATTATAACACTACTGGGCCTTAATTAAGCTTACTGTAAAGCCTATTTTGTTTTATTTTATTCCCCTGCTTTCATTATAGTGTTTCTTAAGCAGCTTAATTTAGTCTGACATATAGATTACCATTTATTCTCAGGTATGTACCTCCCAAGATCAGGTCAATATCCAAAGGTCAACGCTGGTAAAGGGAACCTTCTGATTTTCAGCATGGACTGACATTTTCGAATAGGCATGTGCAAAACTACACATTTTTGCTTTAACTTAGATATGCAAAACTTCCAATGCGCGCGCACGCGCACACACACACACACACACACACTGGGGTTACGCATGTAGGTGCATGCATGCCTGCACAACCCTGATTTGCAACTATAATTCAGAGGATTTCCACACTGAAGCTACATATACACAAAAGTGCAAACGTGGCTTTGTGCACATCTGATTGAAAATCAGTCTACAGTTCCAGAGAAGGCAGCTTGTATTTTTCACTTTACTACAGATGTTTGATAGTTGAGTTATGTATAAACATTATTATTTCTAATTTTAACCATTTGGATGTTGTTCACATTCTACGGTGACTGGGGAAATATAAGTACTTAGATATATTAGATAATTTAGACTAGGGATATAATACAGTATTAGGTAATATTTTTTAAAATACATACATTGCAGCTAATTTTCGTATTACTATTCATGTTGTCTCTCTGCTAGGGCAATGAAAAAACTTTCCAGTTTCATCTCTCTAGTTTGTTCTGGTAAAATTCATTTTCAGGTTCTCATACATTAGCTAACATGAGCTGCAGTTTTTGGATTCCACATTTTGCAAGAGAATGTCTGCTTTTTAAAAACAGATTCCATAGGAATTTTTTTTTAAATAATGAAAACATTTTTATTGCTCCTGTCTGAAATCAATTACACCTCTACCCCAATATAACGTGACCCAATAGAACACGAATTCGGATATGAAGTGGTAAACAGCGCTACGGGGGGAGCGGGGCTGCGCACTCCGGCGGATCAAAGCAAGTTCAATATAATGCAGTTTCACCTATAACGTGGTAAGATTTTTTTGGCTCCCGAGGACAGCGTTATATCAGGGTAGAGGAGTACATGAATAACACTGATATATGAGCAAAAGTTTTATACAGAATTTATTTTTAAATATTACTTTATGACTGTACTTTTTATAGGTCAGTAGGAGTCTACAGAAGCATTGCTTATGTGAAGAATTTAATTTTAATAATATCTGTACATATATGAAAGCTCATTATCCAGTTTTCAAAGCTTATTTTCATTTCAGCTTGCAAGGTCCACACCTTCAATAAAAAATGAATATAACTTTATTTTATTGTACATACAGTCTGCTTGTTTTCAGATAATAGCCAATATGATCGACAGATAATGGGTGGATATGGTCTTATCTTTCATATTAGTTTTCCTGGTTGCAAACAAGGGAGGCCAAATGCTTGGACTGAAATTACTTGAGGGTGTCAAAAATCAGTCTTGAAAACTGGAAGTGAGCCTCAGCAATAACTATGGAGAGACTAGCTTTTTACCATATATGAGAAAACCCTCATCAAGATAAAGCATGTATTTGCCCAGAACCTTGTTACATTTAAATGACTATAAGGCAGTCAGATTTTGGGGGCCCCTTCCATAAAAACAAGTTGCAATACTATAGAATATTATATTCTAGTGGGGGCCCCTGTGGGGCCCGAGGCAAATTGCCCCACTTGCCTCCCCACCCCCGAGCGGCCCTGTTGAATCCTGAGTTTGATCCTTTACTCTCAGGCCAGTCCTGGCTCTAAGGCAGAGGGTGAGCCTTATTAGAGTGCAGTGTTCTGTACTGTTGCTAAACAGCAAGACATGAAAGCAGACAGTGCACAAATTGAATCTCATTTTCAGACTTGTGCTGACGTTATTGATGCTTGTGCAGAAAAAGGGAAATAAATGAAATATCCTCCCACACCCAAATCAGATTGATGACCTTCACTGGAAAAGCAGGCAAACATTCTTTTTTGACAAATGGAAAAAGGGAAAGGCATTTGGGGTGTCTCCACAGTTAGGAGGAAGTATTACAATGAAAAGAAAAAAAATTCACCACCAACCACGAGCTGCTATTTAAACTAAAAACTGAAGCAAGACTATGGAACTAACCCCATTCAGAAGAATAACCGATTTCATATGTTGAGACTCTGCCAAGTATTTAAGAAAGGCCACTAATTCCTGTTTTGTCTTGTTTGTATACTTGAATGGAGCTTATCCAACTGATTTTGTGCTGGTAAAAATTCTGGCCTAATTGTAATTCAATAACAAGATGTTTTCAATTGTTGGCAACCTGAGCAAGATGGACTAGGTATTCTGTTTGCAGAATCTTAACTACCATGAGGCTGGAAGGGTGTCTTATAGTTCTCACTCAGAGAAGACCAAGAGGCTCCATCAGTTGTGGGTGGGGCTTACTTTGGTTACGTTACAAATGACACATCTGAGTAATGTTGCAGGCTTTTGCCATTTCTATAATCATTGTCAGATCCTCACTGTTCAGACAATCTTGCAGAAGCACTGACTTTGCTTCTGTTCTATTACTATTCTGCCTATTTAAAACTTGATCTTCAAATAATAAAAAAAGACACTACCAAGGATGTTAGATGTAAAATTGTTTTATTCTGAGGGAGTATGCACATGCAGTATGTGCTGTGTCCTCCCTCCCCTAGCACTATTTATCTGCTTTCTCCCAAGCCAGGATACAGAAATCAACAAGAACCTTGTGTTCTCATGGAGACAGAGTATGCAGAGTTCCATGTTCTATGCCATGTGATCACTTAGAATAATTTGGATTTCAACTCCTGTACTTTGTAGAACTGTTTTTAGGATTACCAGATTTTTAGGGACTGGGAAAGAAGTATGAAAGGGTAATTATGCTCACTAAGGTCTGAGGCCTGACAATCTTTACAGCATTCTTAGCAAGTTGTAGCGCCCAATAGCCTGTCAATAACCAATTTACTTAAGGGACAAAGTAACTGCATTATAAGCTTTATTGCCTTAGACTGCAATTACTACCATAAAATGTTATTTGTCTGTAGCTTGTCATTGCCATCATTTATCTAAAGGAGTGGGAGAGAGCATATCTGTGTGTGCATAGAATGACTAACCTGTCCTTGTTTTGTACTCCATTCAAATTCTGGTCTTGACACAAGATGAAATAAAGAATTTCCTTAACATTAAAGGAGAGACTATTCCTCTTTTATAATTTATCTTGCATGGTATTTGCATTCTTATTATCATACTGAAAGTTAATTAATTTTAGTAACCAAATCTCAACACTCCATACATGGAAAATATCATGATGCCAAATAGAACGGCCTTTTCATTATATATTACTGTAAGTCTACTTGGTGTCATAATTTGCCCAAACATTGCAGTATCACTAGGGTAAAATGTAGTGGTTTGGATCAGTACGATTGGATACATTACTTTACTTCTGTTTTGTTCATAAGGGGAAGGCCGCTGCCTATGGTGAACTTTATGACGGAGGAAAAGCTCTGTTACCCTGGGCCCACACTAACACCTCTGCCCTTTAAAGGAGTATCAAGAACAAGTGACAAGGGGCAACAATCCTTGTTACGTCAAGAAAGTGAGTGATATGGGCAATACTTTGGAAGCAGAAGGGACTATTCTTTTCACTCTGCCAGAGTGGTTCCCACAAGGACAGACTGCTGCAGCACGTATGCTGTATCTGAAATAGCTAGCACATCCATCACAGAAAGGGAACCTCGGCTCTGCAGAGTGAACACATCTTGAATCCTTCAATAGAGAAGGTCTTGTAAGGAAAGGAATTTCAGGCAAAGAGGAAGAGAAAGCTACCCAATAACTTGGATCTCTTGAGCAGAAACACACTGCAGGGGTTTGGTATTTCCACTCTCTTTATGTGACAGGATGTACTGTTGTAGATAGGGGTGTGGTTAGTGGATTGGGGTGGAGCCAATACTCCTCTGTGCTGCAGGAAAAGAAAGAAGTGGGAATAGGGTGTTTATTATCCAAACAACAAACGATTAAATCTGCCACTTCAAACCGGACTCTAATATCTTTCACGGGCAGCACAATAATGTTCTAATAGCTGCTGTAAACTGAAATATATTTATTGTTTAATTAAGCTTACCAGTCTGCGGATATCCCTCTCACATTCACGCTTTATTCTATTAACCTCATCTTGATGGGACTGATAAGCCGTGCGCAGATCAGCAGCCTTCATTTTATCTGCCTGCATAATATTGTTCAAAGCTTCTTCAAGCTGCTTTTTACCGGACTTCAGCTCTAATATCTCCTGCTGCATCTTTATACGTTCACAATCAAATGCTTTCCGAGCTTCTTCCCTGGCTTCATTTAGCAACGCAGTTTTCACTTTGTCAGCTGCCCCATCCCGCAGCACGTTCACCGTAGACTGCAAGCGTTGAATTTCACTGTCTTTTATTTTTACCATACGAGCTACTTCCTGCTCGTGCTGCCGGATAAGCAGCTCCCTGACAGCCTGGAGTTCCTTCATTTTCTCCTCATGGAGTTTAGCCTTCAGTTCAGAGATGTAGGCAGTGTGCTTGTGCTGCTCCTGCTCTCTTTCTTGCTTGACTTCCTGGATTCTCTCTCTCAGTTTACCCACCTGGAACAAAACAATAAATAAAACTTGGTTTAACATGACTGCTCATGATGCTGACTTTCCAAATATACCATCCCAGGTGCTCTTGCTAGAAAATGGAAAAACTAGATCTGAGCACCTCAAACTTAGGGAAAGTTTGCATCTGGATCCAAACATTGTAGCTTGGGCCTCTCTTCAGCCAAAATCTAATATACTTTCACCCTTAGGAAACTGGCATATTTTCTTTTAACCCGTAAAAAAGACTAGAGAATTTCCAGGTTTTTTGGCAATCCACTAGGGGGCACTCTACTGGCTGATCATTTCTTGCCTTTACAAGGCATGGCAAGATATGACTCAGGAAAAGTGAATCCTGTTTTCTCCTGACTCTCTCCACCAAAATCTATTGCCAGTGCCTATTTTCTTGATGTGGCCCAATCACCGCAAGCTGCCAGTTCCTGACTGCTCCCTTGGGGCTGGAACCAGTTTAGGGAGATGAGTCAGACTGGGAGAGTGGTGCTGGAATTATGGAGAATTAGGAAGCCTCTTTGTTTATGGTGGGGGAATGTTAGGAAGCATCCCAG